AATTGCATCATTCGAGTTGATTACTCTAGATGTCACAATATTTTACAATATACTATTTGTATATTATAGGTTATTATCTTGAAATCTCACATAAATGTAAATGTTGAATTTATTTATATAATGTTCTTGGAGATATTTGAATAAAAGTTGTATACAAAATGAATAGTGCAAACCCGCAGCATGTTGCGCAAGAGACTCCGAACGACCCCAATCCCCTAGTAAAATCAAAAATAAAATTAATTGCAATTGACATTTTATATTTATTTATGTTTAATTCTAAAAATTTAGGCAAATTACCAATTTTCACCTGACGAACTTCGAGTTTTAAAACAATGTAACGTTGAAGCGTTTTTTGAAAGATCGCTGCCTTTACTTACTATTTTGGGACTACAACATACATGGGTGTTAAAAGATAAGTGCAAAAATTTAAATACTGAAACCAAACAAACTAAAAAAACTATATATATATATATATATATATATATATTCATTTTCCATAAAAGTCTTTTTCCATACATTTTTTCCACTGGCTTCTGTTTGTGTAAACCGTTTATAGTCTCCACATTTTGCTTTGTTCCTTAAATTATTTTTGCGCTTAAAGTTAATGATTTTATATATGTAAAAGAATAATAAATAATGAGGATACAATAAGTTATTATTTTATAATTTTTTAAAGTGCAATGTATGTTAATCAATTATATGAAAATCTAAATTGCATTAGCTAATAAGACATTTTTACTATTTCATCTGTAATTTCAACCATCTCATTTATTTACCCTGCTGGTTTCATAATTATATATTGTTTGAATTTTATAATTAAAAATCATTGCAAAATAATATGGATGTTTTAATAGGCTTTTTAAGCCCAAGCGCTAAGTATGGAGCAATACCAAAAGTATTAGGTGCAGTGGCTTTTGGATATTTTTTGGGAAAATTTTCATATCAAAATAAATGCGCTCAAAAGTTAATGCAATTACCCAATAGTAGATTGGCACAAATATTACGGCAAAGAAAATTCGGGGACTTGGAAAGGTGTGTTATAAAACTTATATGTTTGTATATAGTAATCAAATCAAGTCATCAAATTAAAATATTTGATATTAAACATTAATGAACTTTTTGCAGGATTTCTATAGACAATGCATTAGGCACCAGCTTAACTACAAGTTCTTTAAATAAGGATGTATATACAGATGGATTCTCAGAACAAGAAAGTGTATTGGACATGGATACAGACAGGCCATATCAATCAGGTCTAGATGATACTTATCGGCCAAATATGGATTGTAAGACATTCATAAATACTATATAAATTCTTATCGAAAATTTTTATATTATGAATTTTATATTATTATTAGGGAATGATAGTTTGCACGAAAATCTACCACCAACTACGCCACCTGCTTCAAGTACAACATATGAAGAATTACGGAGGAAAAATCGTGAAGAATATCAAAAATCGAGGATGCAAAACTATAGGTAGGGAGCATGACATAGAGATTAGAGATCGTAGAACATCAGAGTTAATAATCTGCATTGTATTTTTGCAGAGGCTTAGTTGAAGATTCTTCACTTGTTAAACCAAGAATACAGCCCACAGATGTACCTCCGAAACCCACAACTTCAAATAAGTATGGTGATAAATGGGATTAAATTATAATTGCAAGGTATAGAAGTTGAAATCAATTTTCGATTATGTTTGCATTGCTTGTTGTTAATAAATAAAAAAAAATTAGACAGAAAGTAACATTTTGAATGAAATATTCTAAAAATGTAGTGTTAAATTCAAGAAGATATATATAGACATATATCTTTGAAAAATTTATTAAATTACAGGTTTAAATACAAAGTATTATGTATATCTATATATACATAGTATAAAAATAACAATCACAGACCTATATAAACTGAAAAATTAATACGTCTTTAAGATGTGTAATATTTGGGGAACAAATAAAATCCCCAATTCTTCCAAGAATGTAACATTTGTTTCTAGATCTTCACGTGATGATTTGGAACGAATTAACTAAAAATATAATATGTTTTAAAAAAAGGATATTCAAATTTAGAGAAAAATAATAGTGTAATACCTTTAATAAGCTCTCCTTATCCTCGTCATTAGCCAGTGGTAGTAAAGCTGCTGCCATATAAGGACGATCAGCTTTAATACAACATTCTGCCAAATCTAAAAGATCTATTGATTCAGCCACAGGACAACACTATAAATATATAAATAAAAACATTCATTCTATCCCAATTTTATAAATATTATTTGAATAATACAATATTTATTATTAAAGAAGTGAAATAAAGGCGATTTATTTAATTATTTCACCTGTAAATTAAGTAATGCAGTAGCACAACTTTTTTCTTGGGCGGGATTTCTTTTAACATCAGCTTCTACAAATGGCATTTTAATAATAAACTGCCATGCCTTTTTAATAACAGGCAATGTGTTTAAATTTGGGTATGTTCTTAGCCATGTTAGTGCAGATTGCAACTCCTTGATCTACCAACAAATGACGTGAATGATGTAGAAATTTTATTATTTTTACCTGGCATCAGTGAATATATTATTACTAGCTAAACATTAAATCAACTTCATATCTTGAAATTAATATATGCAATACTTCTCTAGTTTTTATATATAGAATGACTATAGAGGTGTATGGCATCGTGCCTTAAGACAAACTGCTGGAACTTCCCGTACCAAAAATAATTTTTTTTAAAAAATATTAAAATTTTTTTTTAAACTTTGATAAATTAGGTTTTTGGAAAATTTTTAAATTAATGAAAAAAATTACTTTTTTGGAAATATTTTAGAAATTTTGAACTTTTTTTTAAAGCAATCGTAATGCTTTAACTACATAGAGACGGTCGCTCCGTTCTCTTAAAAACTGGGTTAACGTTTTTGGCACTTTCTGCCCCGTATCTTCGAAACGGCTATACCTGCCTATGCCAAAAACTGATCAGCACGTCTCTTTATTAATAGGAATCGAATGTTTTTTGAATAATTGAAATCGGTTGAACCCTGTTCCCAAAATCGTCGACGAAAATTTGTATCCGCACACATACACACACATACATCCATTTTCTCTAAGGTATACCAAAATGTTCAGAAACCTCTGAAACGAATTTTTTTTGCGATTGCTATAACTATAACCTACGGGAAGTTAAAAATATGAAGAAAAAAATTTCAAAATTATACAGAATAATAACTACTGACCATCCCAAACGATATTAATGATTCCAATATATCATCCCAAATTTTTTCTGTAATAATCTTATTATTCTGACAAATTTGAACACAGAAACTAATGGCGATAGTGTTATTATTAAAGTTCTTTAGTAAATATTGAACCAGAGATTCTTTATTGATTTTATTATAATCATCCATAGAGTATGATAATCCAATGCATTCCAAATAATGTCTTGTTGTAAGAACGCCAATTAGCTTCCTGAAAATTTAGTACATAATTAATTGTTATCATCATATAACAATAATTATTTGAGTTTCATAGCAAGAAGCACTTACTGAACTTGCAGCCTATCTAAATACATAGTTTCTTCAATGTATTTTAGTCCGCACACTTTAATCATGCATCTTAAAGCTCGCAATCTGCATATGACAGGAACTGACTCAACAGAAGTTTCAAGATTGGTACCCAACAGTTCGATCACAGTCTTTTTATCATAAGACTTTAGAACATAGCATGCTCTGTAAAAATATAAATAGGGTGCATTTATAAACTTTACAATCCGATTTTTAAATTTAGTTTTCTCGGTGTTTCAAGCAATCAATTAATCAATTTCTGAATTATTAATTAGATATGGATACCTCGTTAAGTTATCATCCCATTTGGCACTGTCCAAAGCAGTATCACCTTTTTCAGGAACCATGCTATGCATAGTTATTGAATCATCCAAATTAGAGGCCAAATTTGAAGCTTGTAGCCATTGGTTAATCAAATTGTGTTTTAAAGTACGTAGGTCTATTGACTTATGCAATTCTGCTATCTGTTGAACAACTTTATTAATATCTGCAAAATAAAATTACCTTATATGTAAACAGTTTTGAACTTGATCTATTATTATAATAGAATTAAACACACATGTATTAAGCACTGAAAATAATTAAATTGTTTAATAACTAGTTCCATAACAGTTATTTATAATTTTTTTCCTAAATATAAATAAAAGAAATCAATATTACTTTGCAGAACAAAGATTCAAAAAAACTTAATGTAAATCCATGTGGAATTTCAATTCTACTCGGCCAATTTTACTTTGGGTTTTTCAAATTAGTCAAAAGCAAAATTTTGAGAAAATTAAAAGGCACAGAATCATATAAAACTAATCATCATTATCAGTCATAATAGTTTTCAAATAAAAACTTACACTATGCATTACAAATATTTATAAATTTTGTTTTTAAAATTCACTAAATTCTATTCTAATAAATTTAATTAAATATGATACCAGGTGTGTCATTCATTGTAAATCCGGCGCAATTCAGCACAATCGGATGATCATAAAGAGCAAAAATCAGTTCTTGAGGCTTCTCCAGTAATTGCAACAAATAATCTTCATTGAGATTATTGGATGTTAAAATATGCTTTGTAGCGTACATTGGATATTTACGTAACATCTGGAAAGAAAAATCAAATTCATGTTATAAAGCATTATTAGACAATTTAAATAGAAATATGACTATCAGAAAATAGTTTCTAAACTTTTCATATATATTTATAACCTTTTCCACAGATGTTTTGATCTTTTGGTCTGTACAATTAACTGCATAGTCGTAACAAATTTTTGAAGCTGCTACTAAGTCTGCGCCAGGTCTTGAATAATTCATTATAAAGTACATAACAGCAGAATACCTTTCCACATCTTTTATTAAGCTGAAGAAATAATTACATATTAATTAATGAAAAAAATCCTCTATTAATTAAATATATTCAATATATTAATATAATTTAGTAACGCAAATTATTAAAATACTTATTATTGCAATATATACTAACTTTAGAATTTCATAACATTCTTCCCTGGTTTCTTTTTCTACCATAGACAAACTCCATTCTTGCGATAATGAAGGCTGATAAATTTTTAACATCTGAAAAAAAAAACAATAAATTTTGAAGAAATTAAAAATGTTAAAAAATAATCTTTATGATAAATAAAGCACATACTGTATTTTTGATTGCATACTGGCATAACCTGTCTTTGATATGACGTTGGGATTCATTAAGAGGAAGATTATGTGCAATATCGAGCCATCGTTTACATGAGCTAACATCAACTTCATGCTCTAAAATACAAAGTTAACTATTAAATTAAATACAACTTGTTTACAATTGTTAAAGTTATGTAGCAAATAAAATAATAAAAATAATATTAGGAAATCAATCAATTAATAATCAACTTTTTCAAAAGAATGTCAGCAAGTACTTACTTATTATTTCAAAAACTTTTGCAGCATCCATAACACACAAAAACGGCATTCGATATTTTGCTAATAGAGATATATCGTCACTATGACATTGTGTCCAAGCCTCATGTTCAATTTGCCCAAAAGGAACATTCCTTGTGTAACTTTTCAAAAATTTTAAGATTTCTAGCCAGTTACTATAAGATTGGTGTCCCGTTGTTTTTAGAATGTTCAGAACTGCCATATAAATCTCATAATCATATAGATTAATCTATAACAGATTTAATAGACTATAACTAATATTTGAGAATATAAAAATAAATATAAGTTTTCTAAAATTTTGTTGCATACTTAGAATAGAATACTCCAGCTATATTTTAAATTATTTTCACTTATAAATCTTGAATATAAATATAGATATTAAATATAAATATAAATATAAATAAATTATCTACCATTGGAATAAGCTGCTCCATTTCTCCAATCAACTTAGTATTGTTCAATTTAATTGTATAATCCGAACATATTCTATTTATTTCCTGTTCTGAAGGCTGAACAACTAATCCTAAAAATTAAAATTCCTTATTTGATTGTACCAGTGAATTCACAAAAACAATCATACCTTGTTTTAATATTTTGTCGGGAGTAGATTTAATTTGCAGTTTTAATTTTGAGAGATAATAAACAAGCTGTTGTATCAATACAGAATCTAAGTTTTCTTCCATCTGAAAATCTTTGCAAAACTCCTGTAATAAGCTATATGTAGCTGGTAAGGTATACAACTTTTTTAAAACATGTAAATGCCAATTTTTGCTAGAGGTTGTGGCATCTAAAATTTAAAATAAGTAAGTACTTTATCCCAAAAAAAAAGTTTTTTAATCATATAAACCCAACCTGGTACACATAAGTTCATATTCTTCAATTTAATTGCCCAGTTACAACATTTTTTGTTAAATACTAAATTAAAGTAATTTTCTTGAGAATAACTTCCGATAACTTTCTGAAATTCTTGAGCTAATGAAGCAATATTGAGCTGACGCAGTGGTTGACCTGATAGCCTAATCAAAAAAATTTAACTTCAAAACTTTTTTTTAAATTTTGCTATGAGTTTATATTATTCAACAATATGAAGGAGTTTGTTTAACAGGAAGAATTCAAAGTTTCAACAATATGCTTATAAGATATACTATATAGTATTAGTAGTACAAGAAAAGCAGTTGCAAGCTATTATTAATAGATTATTACTAAACATTTTTCCCTTGCCCCTTTGCAAAATAGATCAAAAAAGTTTTACACTTACATTGTCATCAATTTTTCACACACTTCATCTGGACTATTTGACAATTTCAAAACCGCCAACGAATTGCTTATATCAAATTTACTACGAGCTGTCATTTTTAGCAATGTCTTTTCTATTAATGGAGGAATCAGGCTTTGCAAGTGTTCTCGACTCTATAAACCAAAATAAAATTCATTAAACAAGGTTTTTGCAACATATTCATATATATATATATATATATATATATATATTTATATATTGTAAACAATTGTGTATAATTTTGCCAGTCATTTTTTCATATACTTACTATAGAGCCATCATTATGTATATTCAATAACTGAATTATTCGTAATTGAGTCAAAAGTCGGTTACTGGGAAATTTTGTCAATAAATTCAAGCAGCTGCTACTTGAACCCTTGAATACTGGATTAAATTCACTGCCAATAAAGTTTGTGGAAACTGAAAAATATAATAATATCAGTGACGTAGTTACTAATAAAAATATTATTTTATTTTACACTAAAAATTAGTCAACTATTTGTACTAAAAGATTACTAAATGTTATTGCCAATTAAAACTATCATTACTTACAAATATTGCTAATCATTAAGCTTATGATTTTACGAACATTTCTACCATCAGACAAAGTAGATGCATCTCTGTAAACAGTTGTAACAGACGGCAGCTTTACATCATGCCCCTGATTTGTTTCCATCAAATAGTCATCGGCATCTTCAGCACCAATGCATATCCATTTATAAAATAAGAAGTATGGACTGGAATCATTTTCTAGTTTAAAATGAATATTATTTATTTAATTCCCACAACTATAATATGATTGAAGTACATATTGAGAATAATAGAAATCTAAGGATTAAAATTTACATACCCCATTCACTGCAACAGCAATGTAGGTTCATCAACTGCAAAGCATATGGATAAACCAAATCAAGATCGCCATGCATAATATTATTTTCTAAAAGAAAATTTTGCATATTTATATCTTCTCTGCCATAAATGTTAACTAGATGAGCCGCTAAAACTACAAATTTCTCACGCTTATTATCAGTTGAGTTATAAATAGTTTGTGTAACTAGTAGCTTTCTGAAAAGATAAATTAGAAATTTTTACAAAAAAAAAAAAATAAACATTTCAAATGCATTATAAAACAAGAATTACCCAATGCAATGCAGTATCAATCCCAAATTCAATGTTTGTTTACATAGTTCAATCAAAACGACTTCTAGTTTGATATCACAGAGATAAGCAATTTCCTGAAGACTTGCAAATATCTCATCAAAACCTTGATAATTGTTTATGATTTTCGGAATCAATTCATTTAAAACTTCTTCAAACCCACTTCGATAATGATAATAATCACCATAATTAAAATGTATATCATATTTTGTCTTAAGTTTGACAATTTTTTCAAATACTTCAATTTTATTTAAGTTTTTCTCATTGACGCATAAGCTTTCCTGCTTAACGAAATTCAAAAATTCAAAGAATGATAGTTCTGGTTTATTCAATGGTTTCTGTAACAACACAATCATTAGGAATTTTGTCAATTAGAAAGTTAATTAAATTAATTTAATGATAAAACCTGTACCTTAGTTTGCAAGATAATCTCACACATTTGAATCACATATAGGCATAGTCCAGTTCTGCTATCAATATCTGCCAAATTATATATTATATTGATGCATTTTTCAAAATTTCTGAAAATTAAAATAATTTGTAATATGTATGTAATAATACAATTTAATTTTGTGCATTATTTACCCTTGATGTATGTAATGGCATAAGGCAGTTCTGTATATACAACTTTCCATCTCAGGTTGAGCACCAATAACCTATAATTAGGATTGTAATAAAAAATGATAGAAGTTTATATAATTAGAGACTGAAACAAATAATAAACATTTACGATACCTTGTGAATATCCTTCATAGCTTCTAATTCATTAACATAAAGAATTCTCTCCACCAGCAACTACAATCAAACAATTATAAGGATATTAAATATTTATTTTTGAACAATAATTTCATTCATATCAAGAAGAAAATATGCTAAAATTCTTGTGATTTTTAGGTAAGAATGATGAAAAAGCTTACCAATAAATCATCTTCGTCAGCACATTCTTCAAAACAATATTTATTTTCAATAAATCTTAAGGCAGTTAATTGATGAGCACCTCTAATTTCACTAGATAATAGATGCTGGGAAGATGCTCCACGTTCATATAAATCCATAATGATTGCACTCCAGGGCAACTTAGCACTCTACTCAATAATGTTTGAATATATATATATATATATATATATATATATATATATATATATATATGGAGTAATATAAAAATTACCTTTAATATTTTCAGAATACATTGCATTGCAACAAGTTCATCTGTTATGTGCAGGGCAAAACTACACATTTTTGATTCCCACTGCTGATCTTTATCTCGCTTTTTTAAGCAATCCTAAAACAAAATTTAATTTGAATACATTTTATAAGTTTTTATCTAATGCAAGTATTGTTTATAGTATAATTCCTAACATACAAATTGAATTTTCACTTTTTGTTATATTTAACAATAATTCACAATATTTAACTGTCGGATGCACTGAAAATTTTAGGCCCAGATAATATATCACACATCCAGTCTTTTAGACAAATTGCTACTAATGAATTTTGTTACAGATAAATGTATCACTTACCGATATATGCTTGTTTAATAAATCATTCAAGTCAATGTTCCTTATACAAAGTCGAGGAATCAAAAAGTCTTTCAAGAATGTCTCAATGTGATTTGTTGGTACTTGTTTCATTAAAATTAATGCAACATCTGTAAAGTCATTCTAGAAAAAGAAATTTAGTTAGATAAAATAATTATAATTCTGGCATGTAATTACCTTCATATATCTTCCTGAAGAACAATTTATGCTAAATTGCTCTTTAAGAATAATGAGTTCCTCCAAAGACTTGTTTAAGGTTAATAAATCATCCAGTATAGAGTCCGCTACCTAAATGATAAAAATCACTTAGAAAATATACTTTGATGAATCGACAAAAATAAAGGGGTAAAGTACTGGTAAATATATAAATAACTTACTGTAGGATGATTTGAATCCTGGTCAACCATGTGTAGTATTTCCAGAATAGCTTCACAAAAGTCTCTTCCAATATCAGGCCACAAAGACTTATAGCACCCCTCAAATGACCTAAATAGAAAATATTAAAATACTATTATAAATTAACTCATTTATACATAAAAAAATCCCATTATGATAAAGAATGAATAATAATTTATTTGAATATTCTAATATTTTCTCTGAATTTATAAGAATTTATGTTTATCATATATATATATCAGAATTTATACTGTCAAATCAAGTTTACTATCAAGATAAAACAAACTTAATCTTACAAAGTTTTTCTTTTAACCCAGTCCACAATTTGTTGCAAAGCAGATGGTATTCTTTGCACAAATTTTGGTATAAAATGCCGCAAGCAGGGTAACATATGTGTTGGATCAATATTAGGAATTTTTTGCAGAAAAATTTGCACAGTATTAGAAGTCATATCTTCACAAATTGAGTCAAAATGTCTGGCAAATATAGCAGCCGCAGACATACAATCCTCACTGTCCAACAGACTTAGATACAACTGCGTATAATTCTTGTGTCGGAATTGAGCCCATGGTATATTCATGCGCAAAGATAATAGATTATATGTTTCCAACCTCAACAATGTATCTTGAAAACGTTTTGAATAGTTCTCCAGCTGTAAGTATTCAACATACAGTGAGAAATAAAAATATATAAAATTAAAAATTGTAAAAAATGAAGTCCACAATAAAGCTTACTTCGAAATGATCTTTGATACGATTTATAACATAATGCAGTAACTTCTTCATAGATTTTGTATCACAAACTTCATTGTGCAGAGCTTGTAAACACCAATCGGCAATACAAGAATTATCTTTGATAGAATCCAGAAGACTTATCAACTTATCAAAAGTTTCATCTGATATATTCTAGAAGTTAAATATATAATTTCAAATTCAAAATATAATTGAAATTAATAGCTTCACTATTTATATAAAATAGAAAACAAAAAATATTACATACACTAACAGATTCCCAATATTTCTTTAATTCCAGAGTTGCTTTAGCTTTGTTAATTTCATCCATGCTCAATTTGAATTGTTTTACAAGTGTTTCAGCTTCATCAAATCTACCTCGAGTAATAAGCCTTTGAACACGAAGTTCAGGATGTGTTTCAACTAAAGCCCTGATACGAATTTCTGGGCAATTGATGCTATCGCCCACATACTCAATAAATTTGATGTCCATTGGTACATCAATAAAATCTATTAATTCTATTTTATTTTTTACGTGTATGCTATATATTTCCTTCATGCCTAGAAAAATATTAGATATAATCAAAGAGAATGAAACGTTTGAATAAAGTGTTTCTGATCAAAAATCAATATCAGTTTTTTAGAATGCACTGACAGTAAGAAAAAACAGAAAAAAACCTATACCTTGCATAATTATTTTACTAAATAATACAAAAATTAGAAATATGAAGGCAACTTTTAAGTAATGAGGACAATATTTTAAGTAATAAGTAAAGCCATTTATTAACTAAGCTAATTACTTACTTGGATATTCTGCGAGCATAAGACGTTTGTTATTATCACATGACATTAATAAATTGCATGTATCAGTATCAGGAGTTTTAATGATTACAAAATCATCCACAAAATAATCTAATTTTCTTGGTGACATGTATAATGAATAGTAGCATAATGTGTTCAATGTGCCATCACTCAGCAGGCAAAAAATATTGCTGAAAAATTGTAGAAAATGATGCCAATGATAAATAAAGTAAAAGTGTTTTGTACATTATCATATACCTAAATCCATCAACAGTGGCCATTTTCTTAATTTTACTATTCAACATGGGTACAGAAAAGACATCATCATAATTGGCAATTTCGATCTATAAATAATAATATATATATATATATATATATATATATATATATATATATATATATATATATATATATATATATATGGTTTAGTAGTTAATTTTGATGTTGAAATATGTGAGTGAGTTCTTGAGGGCGATACATCAAACAAAGAAAAGCCAAAGATTTATAAAATAATCTTTATTTCCAAACGTTTCGACATTCAATTTAATGTCATCATCAGTGGATATTATGTATACATGCCTCGGTACTTGCAAAGTACAGAAGTCGTGGCAAAAATTACATAATTCTACTTACATTTTTGTTCAATAAAACTATCATTTTTCTGTTTACATCATACAAAAAATTATAAAAAATGCATAGTGTTGACAAGTTAGTTGTATAAATGTTAGTGCCAATCTCTAGTGCTGTGTACACCTCTCTATATGTAACCAACCAACATAATATCCACTGATGATGACATTAAATTGAATGTCGAAACGTTTGGAAATAAAGATTATTTTATAAATCTTTGGCTTTTCTTTGTTTGATGTATCGCCCTCAAGAACTCACTCATATATATATATATATATATATATATATATATATATATATATATATAATAGATAAGTCCTGGATTTTTTCAATATATTGATTGTTTCTTTTCCGAACAGTAAATCCAATAATAAAAAACAATTTGTTTTTTGAAGATGTTTAATACGACGTTTCGGAACTAGGTACGTTCCATCATCAGGTTTATTCTGTCAAATACAATGTTTTTTAAAATACTGATTAACATTAATTAACAATGGTCAATACAGATTAATTAGAAAAAAATTTTGTTATAAAGGAATGGATTATGTACCGGATAGATAGTAATAAGACTTAACTAAAAAAGGTTTTATATAAAATTGAGAAGCAAAAATTATTTACCTGTAATAATTTATATATCCATATCACTAATATTTTTTTGTTAAAAACACTCGATTTTTTTGGAAGATATTTGTAGATGTTACGACTACACAAGACTTAAACACACTGATATGGATTTCTGTCTGCCAGATGTAAAGGACAAAGCACGGAACTCTTGGCAAAAATGATTTTTTATGGCTCTTGTTTGGTAATTTACGAAAAAAAGGAAAAATATTGCTTTAGTAAATGTTGAGAAATATTATGTATATATATATATATATATATATATATATATATATAAATACATACATGAACATGTATATGCACACCTACATACTCATACATACATATGCATAAAAAATCATTTTTGCCAAGAGTTCCGTGCTTTGTCCTTTACATCTGGCAGACAGAAATCCATATCAGTGTGTTTAAGTCTTGTGTAGTCGTAACATCTACAAATATCTTCCAAAAAAATCGAGTGTTTTTAACAAAAAAATATTAGTGATATGGATATATAAATTATTACAGGTAAATAATTTTTGCTTCTCAATTTTATATAAAACCTTTTTTAGTTAAGTCTTATTACTATCTATCCGGTACATAATCCATTCCTTTATAACAAAATTTTTTTCTAATTAATCTGTATTGACCATTGTTAATTAATGTTAATCAGTATTTTAAAAAACATTGTATTTGACAGAATAAACCTGATGATGGAACGTACCTAGTTCCGAAACGTCGTATTAAACATCTTCAAAAAACAAATTGTTTTTTATTATTGGATTTACTGTTCGGAAAAGAAACAATCAATATATATATATATAAATATATATATTATAAAACAATAAATCATTGCACTATGTACAATTTTCAACAATCAATGTAATAATTTTTCATAAACAATATAAATAAAATATATTTAATGCATACAATCCGCATTAATTCAATCACATTTACTATTGCTAATACTGAACTTACTCTTTGACCTCCAAAAACATACGAGTAATTATTTTCACCAGGAACTGCAGCGACAGGATAAGGAATATTTAATTTAATATCATTTACTGCCTCAAATGAAAATTTTGTATGATTAGATTCTACTGATGTATCAAAGTCTTTGGATAATCTAAAATTTTGTAAATAAAAATATTTATTTCATTTATAATATAGTTCTTTAAAATGAGCTTGATCTGAGTATTATTCTCATTTATTTTATATACCTGTATGCAGCTCCAGAACTTGCTATAATAACACAATATTCATGTTCTTCTACAATAGTTATGAAAGCTTTTCCTTCATATGTACCTTCATGTTCAAGCACCCTGTTATATAGACATATCAATAAAATAAAGTTACAAATTACTAAAGAAAAAACAGTATTTTCTTATAACACTTACACTTCGAATAGTAATGCATGATCTTGAACATCTAAACCAAATATCTGTCCATTTTGGAAACATAATATTATCATTTTCATTGCTTTATTTACAGAGAAACAGTCAATTGGAGCCTCATATATATCAGATCTTTCATGTACACAGGATTCGCCCGATAAAATAGTGAATGAATTATCAATTGCCAAGTAAATGAAAGAATCACAACAAATAGATTTAATGTGTGGTGTTTTCGCTTCCTGAAATTGAAGATACATCAATATATAAATAATATGTTTTATAATGTGAAATTAAAATTTTGCAATAAGACTGTGGATATACTCTAGTTAAAGCAAATATCATTTTGCTCCAATATACGAAATATCCAGGTAATAAAGAAGTTTGCTTTCGAGACGTCAGTATGAAATAATTAATGTAAAGCCAAAAAAATCATTCTCAAATGACTGTTATAAATAGTGATTTATAGTTTAAAGTGTTGTACGTTTATAGTTAAATGTTGTGTGTACATGAATTTTAAAAACTACGATTTTTCTCACCTGTTATCTTTAGTTTTTAATTTGCATACTAAAAGGTATATTTTTATTGTAATATTGCCATAGGGATTGAATAAATAAGTTAATTAATTAATAAGTTAAAGTAAACTTTTACATAAAGAGAATGATACAAAAGTTCCATTAGTTCCAAATAGTTACATTACAAAATACTATAATTGACTTAATAATTCAAGTGTTGATAGTTAATAATAATCAGATTAATTAAAAATATATTTCAAAATAAAATAGATCACCTCAGAGTCAGGAGTAATAACAGCCAGTGTTGAACACTCGTATAAAGCTCCATTTGCTTGAGCAAACTGCCTTGTACCAAAAGAAACAGTCTCACAATCTAAATCGCAATTTGTAACTTTGCTCCAGAGTGCCATTTTGATTCAATTGACAAGACAAAATCAAAATGAACAAACAAACTCCATTAACTGTATCAACGACAATAACTGATTTCGAGTGACATCGAGTGACAGGCGTTAAGTTAACGATTAGTTTTTTTTAAACCGTTTTTCTCTCGTTTACAAATCCGTTTCGTCAAACGTTACGCTCCGTTTAAACTCGAAAAACCAACTGATTTGTCAATAAGTTGAAACATGGTGATCATTTATTAACTTCCTTTAGGATAAGTTATAGTAATTGCAAAAAAAAAAAAGAAAATGAAAATTTTTATTTATCTTTACGTTTCAAAGGTTTTTGAACATTTTGGTTTAATAGGGGTGAATTGAGTGCTTGACATGTGTGAATTAAGTGAAGCACCATGGACTATAGTTTTTGACTTTTTAACAAGATTACCATATTGTCTAGGATGAAGATCATAGGTAATTATTTAAATGTTCTGCATTTATGATTGAAAAGTAACAGCCTATTACTTTAACATAATTATGTATTTTAATATTCTTTTATAGTATTTGAAACTATAGTTTAAATTAAAATTATCTTTATTCAACATGTGTAGGTATGTATTGTATAATTGTATTAAAGTAATAAATATGATAAGGCAAAATCAAATACTGATTTTTTAATTTCAAACTTTCCAGTTTTATAAATTTATCTAAGGTGCTGAGCATTGTGTCTTTAATATTCTTGGTACTATTTTGTCTTGGGGCAAGTTACATGAACTAAGTTGTGTAAATAATCGACTTATACACACTATTGATCTCGAGATTTTGAAACTTGTAATAATAAAATCTTCATCTGTTTTTTATCTCAAAATAATAATAAATTATACTGTAAATAAATAATACTCTATTGTTCTTTTCAATATTTATTTAAACATAAAAAGAAATATCCTGCACAATATATATGGTCAAATATTCTAAATGCAAAATATTTATTATAGCAAAATTTTATGTATATGTATATATATATATATATATATATATATATATATTATGTTATTAATATAATTATTTAGCACATTTTTTAAATATTTGACTAATTTTTCTTTACTCCAGTGTTATTCTTATTAACTTAGTATTTTTGTATTGCTCAATCGATGAGCTTTTAAACAATCTATTGTACAAAATCTGTTCTGATTATATTCAAATGGCACTTTACCCGAAATATCTGCCCCACATGTAAAACACCTGGCAAGTACCTTCATACCTATTGCTGTCACTGGTGGATTAGCCAACATACGTCGTTCTGCAGCCAGAGCTCTCTATAAATAAATAATATAATATATATATATATATATATATATATATATATATATGTATATATAATATGTGTCTGTGTGTGTGAGTAATGTTACATAACAATCCTTTTATTAAATTTACCTTTTCTCTGTCACTTAGATGCATGAACCTAACTCTTTCATCTTCATCAAATTTTTTTTCAGCTTCCTCTTTTCTTTTTATTTTTTCACGTTCTCGTTTTGCTTTTTTGATCTCTCTTCGCTTCTCTGCGCGTTCACTAGCCACATCTTCATTTAAAATTTCTGGGATATGAGACTGAAAGAAATATACAAAATGTATTCATTTTAACTTTATGCAATAGTTAATATTAATATTGCACTAATAAAATACCAACCATTGATGTAATGTTCAAATTCAAAATGAAAATTAACCAGATCAGAAAATAACAATAAAATAATCAATATAAATAATTTTATATAATATTGCAACTTGTAGATGAATAGGGCTTATTACATACCTTAGCATAATTAAATTTCTCAGGATTTTGCATCCTGAAAGTTTTGAAAATATTCCTAACATTCGCATTTTCTGTCATGCAGTATGGTGTTTTTCCTTGAGTATTTCTAATGCAAGGATCACTTCCAGAATTTAAAAGAATCAGCACCACATCAGGCTGTTCATTTTGACTCGCCAAATGCAGAAAAGTATTTTTATTACTATTACTGGAAGTGTCATTCAGAAACTGTAATAACATGCAAATTAAATATAAGACGTATATAATGTTTTAAATTCATTAAATAATTTACAATTCCTTTTTTTAATTATATAAAAAAGTCAAATATGTTTCAAATGAATTATTTTTTCCAGTTTCCAATTTATTCACGATACCTTAACTAGTTCATCCGTCGTCCATGAAAAGTTATTATTGCCAGTATTACTCTCAACTTTCTCAGCCGAAATGGAACAATCTATCTCAGTAAAAATCGATTTTAATAAACTTACATCATTCAACTTAATAGCATTATAAATTTTTTGTCTCATATCAACTAAAACTTCATTGATCTCTAATTTAATTTTGGGCGCTTTATTTTTTTTCTTGGTACGCTTTTTTACTTTAGGTTTTACTGGAGAATTATCAGATTCCTGTAAAACTTCTTGTAAGTTTATTTCTTGATTATTGGAAAATAGTGTTGGATCGGTTTCAATATCATCATCTGATTCACTATTACTTAGACTACATGGTAAAGGTCTTTGAGTAATTTCTCTAGATTTTGCTCTGTTTATTTTTGATTTCCTTGGTGAAATAGATTTACTTCTTCTTTCCTGTGGGGCTTGAGATTTTGGTGATGAGTTTCCTACGCTGACCTTTGGCATTGGGCCTATATTAATTGAAGTTACAATTATTTAACATTATCATATGTTCTTCATATTAAACACACTCACCAGCTTCAAAATTTTTATTTATTTCAATAGCAGTAATTATATCATGAACCCTTTTGACTTCATGGAAAGTTGCTCTTTTAGTTGGAAAAGGAATTGGCCTAACTCGTGGATCAGATTTATTCAAGGCTGGTATCTTTCCACCAAATAATACTTGTTTATTATATGGCCCACTCGCTCTATATAATATTACATGACAATTTAATAATTCTTGTTCCCAGCTAGACATTATTGTTTGAACATGCTACAAAAAAATTTAAATTGAAATAAAATAATATTCAAATTAATGAAATTTGATATTTCGGCTTTAGATATTAGTTGTTTTCCGTACGATAAGTTATAGTAATCGCAACAAAGTCGAAAATGAAAATTTTTATATATTATCTTTATGTTTCAGAGGTTTCTGAACATTTAGGCATACATTAGAAAAAAATGATGTATGTGTGTGTGTGTGTGCGGATACAAAATTTCGTCGACGATTTCGGTAACACGGTTCAATCGATTTCAATTATTCAAAAAACATTCGATTCCTATATATTAATAAGACGTGGAAACACAGTTTTTAAGAGAACGGAGGTCCGATTTTTATAATTCAAAAAACATTTTACTTGTATTGACAAGATGAGAAACTGATTTAATTTTTGGGAACGCAGGTCTAGCGGTTTCGGAGATCTAGTAAAAAAAGTAAAAAAAATGCCATTTTGAGGTAAAAAATGATCATTATCAGATCAAATGATCAAATTATCAGATATTTAAATGATATTAAAGATAGTAAAGAAGTGCAATTAGAAAAATTTTTTTTAAAAATTTTAAATTTCTCAAAAATCTAATTTTTCCAAAGTTTAAAACAAATTTGATCTTATTTAAAATATTTAATTTTTGTTAGGAGAAATTCCAGCAATTTGCCTTAAGGCACGATTCCATACACCACTAGTTATATCTTGAAATACTAACTTGAATATGGGTAGCCTCATTATATCTTCTCAGACTAGCCCCAGCACTTTTTGCGGCTCCCCGCTTATTATCATGTGAGCCTTGAGATCCCCCTTGGCCTTGTCTCACTGTATAACTGTGGAAAGTTTTATGAAAAAGAACTTTCTCACCTATAATTATGTAACAAAATATTAATGCGTCATTGGCCTTTTTTCATATTGAAATTTTTTTTAACAAATTTGCATTACTAACCATTAAATATAGCTCCAGCAAAATGACCTCCACCAACTAAGACTATACAAATTTGTGAGTTTTTCTCCCAACGTCTGGTCGCTGTTATCAATTCATCATCAGTTAATTGAGTCTTAAATAATATTATCGTCATTATCAAAAATTCAGGAAAAAAATTTAAAATCACCATTATCGCCAAACCTTTTTCTGATGTAATAGACATCTATATATTGAAAATAAATCATTGTTTTCGTTGCTAAAAAACACTTGGCAATATTTTGTTGCCAATAATACTAGCTGTCGATTTTTATCATATTGTTCTGATGATTCATTTTCTGAATCGCTGATTTCTTCCTCATTTTCATTGTCAGAAATAGTTGAAAATTCTTGCTCATCATCGGAATTCGATGGTAATAGATCACCTTAAAAATTATTCTTCATAATTTGAATCATGAGCATTACAATTATAAAATAAAATAAAAATCAAAAATAAAAGATTCTATTCTATTGTATTCTTATTATAATAAGAATAAATTTTGTCTATATATAAGAAGTTAATAAGTACCTTTAACAGCCACATTTTTTAAGATATCAAACTGATCCTTTGTACATGGCTTTTTACCAATCAATTTCCTCTTTAAATTGAATCGATGCCATTCAAGTTTATAATGATTTCTTTGATCAACCACATTATCAAATGTTTCTTGACAAAATGAGCAAAAAAGAGAATCAGATACAGCGAGGGTTTGTAATTGCAGTAAAGTTTGTTCGGCATCTTCTGTTAATAAATGATATTGATTTAACAATATGAAATTGTTACTTTTAAATATAACTCAAATAAAAATTATTTTATAACATACGTTGATAATCATCTGAATTTTTCATACAATCTGCAACTTTTAATCCTTTACATATTGAGGAAAACTGTTCACTGTTATAAATTTTAATTGTACTTTGCGACATCTTATTAACCAAAATTATCAAAACAATTTACAATACACATTAAACAATATGGGATGAAACTAACAAATAATTTTCAACAATTGCGCAATACGGTGAAACTTTTCGTAATAATATGTGCAACAAGAAATAAATTAGAGGTTAGTTTTGCATGATTATGGCGTTAGAATTTTGACGTTTAAATATTAGCAATGGCGGTAATTTCAAATAGAAATTTATACGAAATTTTGAGCAGTTTTATAAGTAGCAGCATTAAATTTAATGATTTTAGTTATGTTTACTGCGTATTTATTACATTTATTTTTGTTTACAATAATTTGTTAATAGATTCAATTTCCGTACTATAACCCAAAAAAAATACACAAAATGTGTACACATCATTAAAATCTCTATAAAATATCTGATAATTTGATGTGCCTATGTCCAATAAACATTTTTGACAGCCAAATGACATTTTTTTAAATTATTTTTATTGGGAGTCCATAACCGCTGGACCTGCCTTCCCAAAAATTTAATCAATTCTTCATCTTGTCAATGCAAGTAAAATGTTTTTTGAATTATTAAAATCGGACGCTCCGTTCTCTTAAAAACTGAGTTACCGTTTTTGTCACTTTTTGCGCCGTATCTTCGGATCGGCTAGACCTGCCTTTGCCAAATACCTATCAGCACGTCTCCTTATCAATACAAACCAAATGTTTTTTGAATTATTCAAATCGGTTGATCCGTGTCCCTGAAATCGTCGACGAAAATTTGTATCCGCGCACACATACACACATACACAAACATACACAAACACATCCATTTTTTCTGAAGTATTCCTAAATGTTCAGAAACCTTCAATACGTAAAGATATATAAAAATTTTCATTTTCCATTTTCGGCCCATTACTATAACTACCCTACGGGAAGTTAATAATAAAGTGAATGAATAAAAATTAATCTATTTGCAAGTTCTATTATAGATTTCTTAATCGTAATTTCTTAAATGTAAGTTAACAAGCCAAATAAATGTATATTCGTTATTAATTAAAAATTTAGGTTTAATGTATTTTTTATTATATCAACATTTGTATATACAAATTTATACAATAAAATATTTATATTCTTACCCTTTTTAAACCTTTTGCAAGTTTTTAATATTAAGTTATTTATTAGGCATATGTCATGTCTTTAAAGCATACAGAATAGGCACATATATACATCTACATCTGATCAAAGTTATACATGAATTCTTTCATTAATTATCTCGAATTAAGATTGTTTCGAGTCAGGCAAACATATTTTCAAACTTAAAAAACTATGTTAAAATATATCACTTTTGCAGTGTTCATGCATTCAACTTTGCACTTGAACCGTAAAATTTCTTATTATCTATATTACTATAGTAGTGGTCAGAATTTCATTCAATTCAATTTTTGGATTATAATTTTCTGGCTTATAATAATATGATGTTTATTAATCTATGCAGTCTTTTGTTCTCGCTGTAGGTATTCATTCCGGAAGCTCATGTTCATGATTCCACCAATGAGCGTTCGTAACCATACTGGTGGCAGCGAAGTAAATGTGTACTGTGAAAATTGACACTTTAATATTATCAGATCTATTAAAAAGAATTAAATAATATAATGACTATCAATAGAATAATTTCACCTGAATTCCATGACTCCAATACCCTGTCGTACTATCAGTACGTCCTAAAGTCGCGACCGCATGCCGAGCGTATGTTCGCGCATCAGGAACAAGTAAACTAGCTGTTGAAATCCGGCTAGAAAAATGGTTCATTTTGGTTGACACGAAAAGTGGAGCCAAGTGCTGGACAGTAAGCCCATAATCGGCACATTCGAATCGTAAAGCTGCTGTGAAGGATTTCACATACACCTGAGAATAAAAAAAATCAGAAGATATGTCCTTAGAAAGATTATATAAACTAGTTGGTATTGGTATTTTGCCTTGAGGCAAGTTACATGAACTTACCGATATGAGCAAATAATCGACTTTATCCATGATAAATAAATTAATTTATGAGTGATTATAAGTATTCCGAGTGGATTTATTACACATAATTGAAAACGAACGAACACGTTAACCCGGAGTATTTTCTAAAAGCAAATTTTCACAAATCAATAATTTTTATAATGGAACCAGTTTCCGTAGGACATTAATGGTTTAGTATGTTCATTAAGACCAAGTACTCTATCGTTATACCAAGTAAATCGTCTAATTTTGATTTTAACAAACGCCAATAAAACTACTTATTTTCTCAAACTTTGATGAATTTTTAAAATTAAACTACTTGTCATAAGGCCGTAAAATTTCAGTAAGTTCTATAAGACCATGATATATTAGGTTGTCAAATATCTCCCTTCCGCTTTTTTGCTATTGGTTTATAATACAAAAAGGCGGAAGGGAGATATTTGACAACCTAATATATCGCCAAAAAAGTTCCGTAAAAGTCGGCTTAAATTTTTTTTCAACAGTTAATTACAAGAAAACGGCTCGATAGATTTTCAACTAAAACTAATTAGTATCATTCCCAACTAATATCTTTTGAACAGTTTTTGTTTTTTTTAAATCGTTTCGGTAGTATGGGCTTAAATGTGAACGAAAAGTTTAACACTTTGTCCAAATTACAAAGAAACGTCTCTGCCGATCGCTGCTCAAGACTGAGAAAAGCTGCTTCATCGAGAAACATCAAATGGCTGTTAAATTTCTGAAATCGGTTTAGACGTTTTTGAGCAAACGTTGATGAAAGGTCTAATTTTGACAAATGCCAGAAAAACGATACTAATTTTTGCAAACTTTTGACGAATTTTTAAGTTAAACGAGTTGTCGTAGGGTCGATCATATTTTAGTATGATCTATAAAACTGTGGTATCTACCGTTAAAAAAAATCATAAAAATCGTCGAAACAAAATTTCAGCCCGCCCGACCGATCTTTGCCAAAATCGAACTAATCAGGTCGATTCCCAACCAATATCTGTCGAACGGTTTTTGAATTTTCAAAATCTATTCAGAATTGCGGGCTAAACCGTGGACGAAAGTTTTGTCACTTCTCTGCGATTCACAAAGAAACGGCTCGGCTGATCGTCGCACAAAACTGACAAACGATACATCAACATACATGGGATGGCTTTTAAATTTTTGAAATCGGTCCAGCCGTTTTTGAAAAACGTCGATTTACGGTAAAAAAAATCTGTTCACACACACAGACACATACATTTTCCAAATTTGGTCTAATTCGATTCAGAATGGCTTGAAACGTCGAGAAAACATAAAATTAGCGAATCGGATTTTTTGATGAAAACATAAACTTCTAGTTATATCTCAATTTCTATAGTAATGATAACAAATTTTTCGTCGGTTTCAAAACTTTCATTTATCATTTACCTTTGTGGCTGCATATACCGTCATCAGTGGCAAAGGTTGCAGCTCAGAACCAGATGAGACATTGACAATGGCACCTTTTTTCCTTTCTTGCATTTGTTTTAAGACCATTCTGCACATGGAAGTAACAGCTCCTACATTTATGTTGACAATGTCCCAAAGATCTTGCTCTGGTACTTCGCTCAGATACATTGGATATGAATACTGTTTCCCTACATTGTTAACTGGAAGAACAATATTAGTACACTTCCAATATTTATAATAGTTGGAAATACTTATGTGCCAATTGAATCAAATAATTCGAATCATTCTAAACAAACCTTTAACTACAAACTGAAACATCATTTATAAATATTAACCTTATGTTCAGCAAACACGTCTCGCCGTTTCTTATAAAATTAAAAACTAAATTCTTACCTAATATTCCAACTGGAATTCCAGAAAGTTCATTTTCTATATGTTTATATATTTCCTGACCTTTGCTGAAATCAGCCACAATAGTTTTTGTCTTCACAGGATATTGTGATTCTGAACATAAAATAAGAAATGAATCAAATTAATTCAAAATAAATTGACCAAAATATTTGTATCTAGATTAAATGATTTTTTTTTTTATTTTGCAAAAATTTGCAGCTTACTTATAGATATTGAAGCATACTTTTTTTTATTAATTAGTATTTGTTGAATATTATTTAATTATTATTATTAATTCTTGGAAAATTTCAAATAAAATATTAAGGTTTTTATGCCAAACTCTGGCATTGAGTCATCATTTCTTCTGAATGGAATATCTCATTACATTTTGGTATTAATTTTTAT